AAAAAAATCAGTAGTACGAGGGTTACGGTTTGTTTCTTTCTACTAAATCAGGTTATAGTGCTTGTTGTAAACCACTAACAAAAAACATTGATTCAGATCAAGTTTATTGCTGCCACGGTGGTATCTCGCAGTATGCGACCTCACTGGACCATATCGCTGCAATCGAACGACCTACTCATCGTCTAAACAATGCCAGAAATCTCCGAGAAGCTTTAATTTTTAGTGATACAGTGTGGGCCGATCCATGGCTACATCCTTTTCCGATACAAGATCCTGTTCCCGGAAAGTTTGTTTTCACCTCTTTATATTATGCATAGGAAGAAAGCAGTACCAGGAATATTCTGTTAGCAAAATCCTTCCAGCACCTCGATTTTTCTGAAAGGCAAAGGCAACTTTTCTAACTTTAACCCAGAAAAGCTCTGCATCAAGAGGCAGCGTCTGTGGAAACTTCGGATCCACTGACGCGATTCTGCTAGTACTTTGTTTTTCTGAATGATGGATTTCGAACAAAGGCAGTAGGCTGTGTGATACTGACAGTGATCTTAATAGAACCGTGCTGCCTGCTGTGTTACCACATTACTTCGACGGGCCATCAATGCCGTAATAATGTGTTCACAGATATATAGATTTCTCAGTTTTGGGCACTATCCCGTATTACTATTACTCACTTTCTGTTAGTTATTTGATTTGCGCGTATGATCAAATAGCTATGCGTCAAGCAAAAAGCTCAGTTCCTTATTTTAATATATCAGACCCAAAGGGGCAGCACTAATGTGACTCGATAATACATGCATCAATCTCAAAGCCCAAGCACTCCAAAGAATATTGCAGTTGTCGGCTCCCGACATTCGCAAGCAGTCTTATCCCCGCTCAGTCTACCTTCAGACACCGTAGTCTTCTTCCAGTCCGCCGTATCTCAGCGCTCCCTGCTTTAGGAATAACTGCTTTTCCTACCCCAGAAGTTCTCACTCTTTTTCCCACTTTGTGATCCCCTCTTGTACATTTTTTATATACACACAAAAGAACAAAATGAAACATTCTAGAACAAATTTTATCTATCAGTTTTCGTATTTTGACACGGCACTTTCCACAATATAAGCACTGTCTATAGAGTGATAGTAAAATAAAAACTTCTCTGGAAATGATCCGAATGCTGATACCGTGATAACTGCAGTATTCACTTGCAAGGCTGTCGACAGCTTCATCGCTTTAATTAGTGTGAAGTGACAGTGTCGGCAAGTGATTTCAGCGATCATTATGGACCAAATGACAGACGAGCCGCCGGCTATTATTTCGATGAAGCAGCTGTTATTGAGAAGCTGAGGCAGTACAATGTTCGAGCGATTATTCGTGGTCACAGACAATATGATGTCACACTTTGCAATTATCATTTTTGTAACAATACTATTTGAACTACATGCCTAATGAGCTTTTGATATAGTCAAGATTTCTCTGTATGAAGGAACTTTTTATTATCAAGCGAATACTACTGGAGATGTGCAGCTCAATGCCGAAAGGCCTGGTACAAGCGCGACCGTATACGGCAGCACCCTAGTAACACGGATACCGAACCAATTGTCCGATCCCCCTTAGCACTCTCGGTGTTGTTAAATAAATTTTGAAGTGAATTTTCAGGGAAAACATCCTTTTCGAAGATCAAAAAATGCCAGTCCTAGGAATCATTGTGGGGATCTTGTGTTAGTGACAGCATTGGAATTACACCACACGCCGGGCCTAGTTGTGCCAAATCTTTCGATTCTGAGCTGCATGTTTCTAGTTAGTACGCACCGCCAGTTCAACGTTTGTACGACACAACAAAAAATGCTTTATTAAAAACTGTACATTCACTTCAACAAGAAGTCAATGTGCGGCCTTGCCAGTGTTTAGCGCGCTAGAAGTTGATCTATATACAAGTGCTACCGCGTCTCGGAATATTGAAGAAATTGGGTTTCGACGTTTTGCTCCTCACTTTTTTAGCCATTCAAAAAGGGTACATGGCTTAAAAAGAAAGAATTTGCAAGTACTGTCAAGTCGAGTCAGCTAAACCGAAATACTAAGAAACAAAAGTGAAATTTTCCAATTAAAATCTGCCAAACGCACGCAGATTTACCGCGCACTTGCATTGTAATTTGCAACTTCCGGGCTTGAAAATACCATCAAAAGACTCGAGATAACTAGCAGAGCGAACACTGGAAAGCTGACGAGTGTACGGAGTTATACTGATGCTGGAGAGGAGAATACTAAAGCTTAGTTTAACTAGGCAAGCTTCTCACTGCGTTAGTAGTGAGGATGAGGTTTTTAATAATTTACTTTTTTTGACCGTAGTTGGCATTTTCTATCACTTGGGCTACTTCCTAAATCGCGCATAGACAGTAAATGTGAGTGTGAGCGAAACAGAGGGAATTTGGATTTTTTGACTTTTGATTTCAAATGCTTCTTCTTCAGGAAGGTTTCCAATCTTCATTTGGAGGGAAATTTCTAACGGTGCATTCGTGCAACACTAGACCAGAAAACAAGCACTTTCAACCTGCTGCACTGCTGTTAAATTTTGATGAAAGAACCGGATTGCTTTCGGGATTTGTGAAGTACCACAAACCCGATAGACACGACAGAATCGGTCGCATGGCGGAAGCAATCCGCAAAATAATTGCTTATTTGGAGGAAGTAAAGTAAGCGCTTTGCGATATAAAATTCCTTTCCTTTCACGAAACACAGACTACAAAATTTACCTGTGCATTAGAGCACGTAATTTTCCAACAATCTTACTAGATATGTTTCACTTAAGTTTTACATTTTGCTGACATGGTTTTCAGTCACACCACAAGAGAACATTCTGAATGTGAATCAGTAGTGAATTTTAAAATTCTCAAGTAAATTGCATTTTCAAGGCTAAAGGGTTTTTACTGACTCAGCAGCTAAAGCGCAACCAGAGTTTTTAGCGGTTTTC